TATATCAGTTGTTCTACATACAGCTGAGCTAGCTATCTAACAAAAAGTACTTCTGGTTATACATAGTACATTCATCATTATCTGTGGAAAAATGTGATTTTTGACTCCAATGAGTTGTTGACCTTCATACTCCAGAGAACCTCTGAACATGTGAAACAGCTCAAGAATCTGCTATTCCATAGGGTCTGGATGGACACTACTTACCCTTTCCATGGCACTCCCAGAATGACTAGGAACATCAGATTTTTGAGGACTATCAGGTCCTCTAGGTCCTTCTGGATCTAATCCTTTGGGATCTGGGTCAGGGGGAATGAGACGAGACTGAGTGAGCTAGGAGGCGAGATGCAGAACAGGGGAACAACAGGAGTAGGAAATGAGGTGGGGGTAAGGGTGAGCGTAGCGAGCCCTTACACCATGGTTTAGTTTACAGAAACTAAGGAAACTAATCTATGCTATACAAGGAAAAAATACCATGGTTTCTAAAAAACCCTCGGCAGCTTGTCTGGCCCTTAATAATTGGTATCTGAAAAAACCAAAGGTTTTGTACCATAAGATCATCGTTACAGGAAAACAATGTCCACACAGTGTAAATGAAAATAAACTCGAATGCACAAAACTATATAATCAAGGCGCTATAGCCAAGTGGTTACGGCGACAGATTAGAATCTTAATATCAAAGAATCATCTGTTCCTCTTTGAGGGCGCAGGTTCAAATCCTGCTAGCGTCGATTGTCTCCTGGTATACAAAAATATTTTTTAAATATGACAAAGTTTATATACAGTATATATCCGAAATAAGATTGATAGTTAAAAGGTATTAGGTATTCATCTCTTATCGACCCCTCCTACCTATAACCTCCCACATTCCATCGATCCTCTCCAATCCAATCTGTAAAGACACCAGCGGCGCGAGGGCATGCGAGTGTGAGTGCGAGTGCGAGTGTAGTCCTCCCGATGTATGACTCTTCTCTTCTTCCTTCTTTTCCTTAAACACCTCCTCCTCCTTTCTCAATCCACCCTGGACCACACCAATCCACCTCGGGACCGCAACCCTCAACGGAGCGAGGATCGTCCGTTCAAAGTTGGCTCGGTTATCTAGATCTCGGATGCCAGTCTGTATGGTATGTATACCAACCAAGTCAGATCAGGATAGCGGATGGAACAAAAAAAAAAAAAAAAAAAAACAAAAACCCACTCTATTCCTCGCATCCCTCATCACCAAAACATAATACAACGCCAAGACCTCCCCAAGCCTCGTTAACTCTGTTATCGTCTCGTTTCGTTCCAGGTCTTCCCTATCCAACTTCACAATAGAATCCTCCAACACAAACAACACAGGTGCGAAAACCTGTAAAAACCTCGGCGAAGCCAAAACATTCACCTCCCCACCACATTCTCCTCGATCTCGTTCCAAAGCTCTCAACACCGCGTCTTTCACCAACCCTATCGCCTCCACTCTCATTTTGGATCCCAACCCTTCCCGCTCCTCTTCAGCTTTCACTTTCACTTTCACACCCACAAGGTCCACAAGCACCTCAACCTGGACCAATCCCGGCACCACACTCAAGATTTCTCCCAAAACGCGAAAAGCACAGTGTCGAATGAACGGATCTGGGTGGGTTGATGATAATACAGGGAGGAGAGAGAGTAAGGGGAAGAATGAGGGAGATGAAGGGGGAAGAGAGTGGGAGTGGGAGTGGGAAGGAGAGAAGGAGAGTAATAAGACAGCAAGAGATTCATCAAGAAGAGTGTTTGTCTGTATAGAAGTGAGTATAAAAGGGAGGTACTTTGTGAGCCCCACTCTCGATTCCCATCGCGTACTATGAGCGAACAACACAAACCCAGAAAAGACCGAAACCGGAACCATTCGGATACGCGAGAAACACGACTCAAGTTTCCTAACAACCTCATCGCCCCTTTCCCATCCCTCATCCAACCTTTCTATCTCTCCTCCAAACCTTGGAAAACATACACCAAACGCACGTTTAGCGAGGGACGCTTGGATGTGAGTACCTAAAGTATCAATGGTCGTCGATATATATTTATTAAGTATATCCTGGATGGAAAAAAATGTCCAACATAAAGCCAATATATATATAAATATAACTAAACATTTACTTACTTTCCATTCCCCCTCTCCTTCTTCCCTCTTCTCCACCAAATCCATAACCCTCTCCACCAATTCCGCAGAATACCACAACCCATCTCTTCCCTCTGTCTTCGAAAACCCGTCTGATCTCCCTCCCACTCTCTGTATCGTAAACGCTAATTCGGGTATAAACGATAACGATAACGCTGACTTTCGACGGAGAGGGATGGTCGATATCACTTGTAGTATATATATATAAATCAACAATAAACAATAAGGGTAGCAATTTGACACTCACCAGTAAACATTCGAATGAGCCGAAGGATTTGAATACTTGGCGAAACTTCCTTCCCTTCTCCTTCTTCTTCTCCTTCCCATTCCCATTCCTCACTATCTCCAACCATCCTCCCAACCCTCTCCAAATTCTCCTCACAAGCAATCATCACCTCCTTCGAACTACATCTCTCCCTAACCACCTCCAACATCCCTTCAACCCCTGGATCAGCCGATGGGATCAGGTGCGTAAGGAGCGTCAGAGGGTCCTGTTCCAAGCCAAACCAAAACCAAAACCAAAACCAAATGGATATATATAACCCGTTGAGTATGAATAACAAATTCGAACTTCGACGTACCAAATACCCAGATACATCCTTCTCATTCAAAAGATATCCCACAACGCTACTCAACGTGAGTCCAGGAGATTGTTCATCAAGTGCAGATATCACAACAGCAGTCAACGCAGCACTTGGATCCTCAGTTTCTAATATACCCAATAGATCTTTAACCATGTTGGTGGTAATTAACGAAGAGGAGGAGGAGGAGGAGAAGGGGTGGAGGAGGAGGAAGGAATCTTATCACACAGCCACTACACATAAATATGTAAAGTGCATAATCTTATCTTTATCCTTTATCGCGATCATTCTCGAACCATCCACCCGTTATCCATATATTCCCTATTCCCTATTCCCTCCTTCATCCCTAACTTAACTCGACTCGACTTGACTTGACCTAACCATGCAATCCCTCCTCAGATGGGGCATCGAAAACTCCACACCCCAGCCTCAAACCCAAACCCAAACCCAAACCCACACTCAAACTCCAACCCAACCCCAACCCCAGCCTCAACCTCTCGACCCCTCAATCATCGACATCATCCTCGGTAAAAGCGACGCGGATCGTATGAAAGACGCTCTAGCTATCGCCGTCTCTGCGGATAAAGTGGATGTAGAAGAAAGAGTAAACGCGTTAGATGATTTAGAAATGGTTTGTTTTCTCTCTCTCTCTCTCTCAACGAATACGTCTCGTACTAAGAATTATATATAAGCTCATAGAACAAATCGATAACGCGAATAGTACGTTAACCACTCCCCAACCCTACACTCATCATTCCTATCCCTAATCCTATCCCTATCCCTAATCCTATTCCTATTCCTATCCCTAATCCTATTCCTATCTCTATCCACCCAGATCTCGAAAAACTCAACATGTGGGAACCTCTGCACGGTTTATTAACCCCACCAACACCAACACCAGACACCGAACGAATTCGAACACAAGCCATTTGGGTGATAGGCACCGCGGTACAGAATAATCCCGCTGCTCAAGATGCTGTACGTTATTCTCGCTTTGTTTTTCCTCTTTTTTTTTTGTTTTTGTTTTGTTTTGTCCTTACTTTTACTTTTACTTTTACTTTTACTTCAACTTTCTCTCACCACGAACCCTACCAGTACCTAAACCTAAACCCAATCCCTCTCCTCACATCTTTCCTCGCCCCACCCACACCCTCGCACCCAACCTCAAAAGAAACCCGATCCAAAGTAATCTACGCGCTCTCAGGGTTATTAAAGCATAACGCACCTGCGTTGAAGCAGTTGGACGTCAAGAATGCGGGAGATGGAGATGATATAAACGACGGTTGGGATCGATTACGACAGGCTTTACAACGTACGTTTACGTTTTTTCATAGGTTCATATATATATAATCTCCCAACTGGTATCTCATTCCTAAAAGACCCAGATAACACCGTCCGTCGAAAAACAGTCTTCCTCCTCAACAATCTTCTTACTCCAAACGAAGCTCCAACCCCTTCCCTTTCTTCTCCGTCCCAAAACCTCCACACACCAGATTCCCATTCCCATCCCCATTCCCATCCCCATCCCCATTCCCAACCCCATCCCCATCCCCAAGACCCAATTCACCCCAACTCCCACTCAGCTTACCTTTCCCATCCCGACCGCGCATCTACATCCGGACCAACCTTCGAAGCGATGCAGACGCATGGGATCGTTGACGTTCTTGTTGAGAGTTTGACGGGTGGCGGTGAGGATGAGGAGGAGGATGTGGATGTGGATTTGGATTTCGAAGAAAAAGGCGTTACGTGAGTTTTTTTTTCCATCCTTCCCTTCCTTTTATCTATATCATCCATCCTAATCATTCCTTCCCATACACCCAAATCCTGTGCAGTCTTCTTAGAACATACCTACAACTCAACGGCCCACTAAACCAATCTCAAAAAGACCGTATCAGGCGGTGGATCGTTCGTTCTGCCGCTACTGCTGGGGGTGAGAGTGGGAACGGTGGCGGAGACGAAGCTGAAGGTGGTGGAGACAGTTTGGATTTCGAAAGTTTAGCAGAAAGATGGGGTATGAATGTTAGTGAGGTTGAGGAGTTGGTGAAAAAGGTTTGAGTAAGGCCTCTATATAGTCTCTTCCTCCTGTCAGTAAATAGGGAGAAGAATACAGAGAAGAATAAGAATAGGAAAGTAAGGTTCCACGAATATATAAACCCGAAACTATTAGGAAGCTCGCAAGATCGAGGAGTTCTCTACACCGAGGTGGGATCACTGGGATCAGTGAAGCGTTACCTACACCAGCTCTAGAAACAATAATCAAAATCAAAACAAAATAAATCCGACGCCAGCAGGATTCGAACCTGCGCCCTCAAAGAGGAACAGATGACTCTTTAATACCAAGATTCTAATCTGTCGCCGTAACCACTTGGCTATAGCGCCGATAACAAATCATCCGCCAATGACATCCATGTTTCCATCAACCAATCCCATCCCATCAACTGATTTTATTTTGTATTTTACTCTAGGGTTTTCATTCGCTTATCCACCTGTCTACAGTCACAACGCCATGCATGTAGCAGAAATATGGAATATGGGGGTATGGGTATGTTATGAGTCGTGAGTTATGATTTATGATTTATGAGCTATGAGTGTTGGTGAGCGTTGAACGTTGATGAGTTGGTGTTGATGAAAAAGGAGTTGAGTAGCATTGTATTGTATTAACACTAGTTAAGGTTGTATGTACTAGTGGGTTGTATGTACCTGTCACCCAGTACGCGCTCGTAGACTCGTATGACTTGGAGATGAAGATGGGGAACATGTGGTGTCCGATTATCCGATTATCCTGATGATCCAATTATCCACTTTTTGAGCACTTTGTATGGCATATTTGGTACCAAGCACTAATAACCCCAACCCTCATATATTATGATATGTCTAAGATAAGGATAAGGATAAGGGATAAGATGCGCGCGAATCCTTTTTGGATATTCGATGTTCGATGTCCGGGCTCAGCAAGTAGGGTTCTACAAATATCTGAAAACGTGTTCTGAGGATCCCGGTCTTACTATCTATCCATCTTTGTTCAAGGTTTGATTTATGCTTGTCGATTATGGCTATAGCCTAGGGTACTCCTAGCAGATCGTCCTTTGGCAAGTCCGCGGCGTTCAGCGTTCAACGTTCATCGCCTCAATGGCTCGGCATTCGATGTTCAACGTTAGACGTTCATACAACGTTCAACGTTCATAATCGTCATAATCGTCATCAAAGTGAAACCGAAAGTTTGGAATGACTTGGACGATCATTTCGGGGTTACTGAGTGCCAGTGACGCTTTAAAGCTTTATTAGATATATACGCATACACTAAGATGCTGATGATGATGATGATACATTTTATTTTATCTAAACAGAAACAAACTCGAAATCTAGATACACTTAGTATTTGGGTGACCTTGGGGAGGAAGAAGAGGGAGGGAGAGAGAGAAACGACATCGAAGCGTTAACGCGAAGACGAAAATAAAAATGATGAGAGCATCATACATCAAAGTATATTTCAGTTGTGGAATAGTGGTAGAGACAATTCAGAATGAGATGTACCTCCGCGATCCGAGAGTCAAACGACCCTTCCCATACAGAACAACTTCAACCAGAAAAAAAGAAAAAAAAAAACACCTATGCCAATGCAGTATCCAAACTAATCATACTACTCTGACTACTATGAGAATGATTGCACGTTTGTCCAATACAATGCGGTCCACACCGAGGTTTCCTCCCTCTCATCCTTCTCAACCGTGACTCTCGGTGTTCAACTCCAACCCCAACTCCTCCTCCAACTCCAACTCCAACTTCAATCCCATCCTGCCCTGTGTCCGATAGTGCTGTCAAATTAAACAGCTTCTCCAAGCTTTCCTGTACAAAGTGAAAGCATGATTGGACCCCTGCTTTCCATGATCTGACATGGTCAGTTTGAGAGCCGAACACTATGACCGCGGCGACCGGGACTGTACATGTAGAGTTGTAGATAGTCAAAGAGCATAGAGGAGGATATCAAACACTCACTAATCGCTAGAGTAATTTGTAACCCAACACCATGTTTGCCTCGTGGAGTGAAAAAGAAAAGAAGGCCTAGCCTATAATGGGACGGAGAAATCTGAGATTACGCCCCCCATATTGGACTTCTACAGTATATATAACTCACACAACAGCCACCAACGAAAAAGCACTAAAACAAAGCACTCTCAACACCATCGCTAGCGGTGCATGAGTGTCACTAGAAAATACACCCCAATTTCTCCCCAAGACAATACTGATCGTGATGCTCAAGCATAAACAGATCAACATTATCACTGCCACGACCACGGCCGATATTTTTCCTCTGTTCAATCCATGAGATAAGTTAAAGGAGAAGAAAAAAATCAAGTTGGAGGGCCCGAATAATGGATAGATAATAATAAATATAGAAGAGAAGCAGAAGTGTTATAAAAATAGATAAAAAAAAACTCACGGAATCGGATTTAACATGTTACAATAAAACCCTCCTGGTTCTCTAGTCACTGTTCCCCGATCCTTAAGCCCAATCACGAGAGATACTGCGAACATTCCTGCGCCTGCCATGTATGGTAGGAAAATCATCTGCACAGTAAGTAAGTAAGTAAGTAAACCTTGTCATAACCGAAGCCTTCAACCCAAAGAACCACATACAAGTAGCGTGTATAACCTATGTGACAACGCGTTCCTCCGATTGTTACTGGTTGCTTCACCAGTGGGATTTGGAGCAGCAAAGGCTCGAACGCTGATAAGAACCTAGACACAGGAAGAACGTGAATTTCGAGAGAAAGCACTGAACATCAGGCTTTTAACCCACTTGAATGACAAGGGCAAGGCTAGTGGAAGCAGTCCTAAAATTCGAAAAATACCATCAAAAAACCCGTCAGTTCATCTTGACTGAGACAAAAAAGGAAAAAAAAAGAAAACATACAATGTCGGAACAGTATAAACAAGAGCAGCTTGTGTCAAGCACAATGGATAATCAGGTTGCCAGTTCATCGGACCTCCCACCAGGAGACTATCATAAGATTCCAAACTTCTTGAGTACAGAACCTCTACGCATCACATCTCCAAAACCCCCTGTCACGTACCTATAAGACGTACACGAAACGATCCACGAGAAGACAAAGTTCATCCAACTCCAACTGCGTTTGACCGTTTTAGAGATACAAACAGTTAGAAGCATGAGTATCGAGCCTGCGAGGCCTGTTAACTGGAATACAACGAAAACGAGGAAAGGCCCGGCGTTGTTGTTGGTGGAGGAAAAGCTCGTTTGGGTTTGACCTTCATCCCCCACATCCGATCGTAGGAGTTCCGTCCAATTGGACACCGCGGCGTCGGGTGTTGAAGTAGAGCCTGAGAGGTACTCGACTGAGCCTGAGTCGGGGAATTCAAACTGAGATTAAGCTATGTAGCGGAAGAAAAAAAAAAGCACACAACTCACGGAAGATATACGAAGAATACATGGCAAAGATGAAAGATGGGGCAAGAATCTCAATCCACGAAAAGGGATAGAATGGCAGCGAACACGAAGTAAACAACAAGAACTAAGAATCCCTTTGTCCAATGCTCAGAGAACAGCAATGAACAACAACCTTGACATCAAGGCCTTATCAGCAGCAGCAGAACAACTAACAACTGTGGATATTAGGGGATTGTTAGGCGTACCTCAGCAATGACTTGTACTTATACTTATACTTATACATATACTTATACTTATACGAACCCCCATACATCTCAATTAGGGACCCACAGCCATTCCAATTGTAAAAGCGGTGCTTTGCAGTATCCGTCAAACCCCTGAAGATGAAATGAAATCATACATGGTGAATGCTTAGTACTGAAGCGCTGAAGCGCTGAAAAGACCTCTATGTATGGGACAGGCCCATCTTGATTGGCTTGACTTGTAAGTTCACTATACGTTGCGTACGTTAATTGGGGGGGGGAACCTGAAAGTCAAGATACGTCGGTGCTATTCGCAGCGACTCACAATGACAGATCCGAGAGATGGGAAGTCGACGGGCTGTAAAACCTGGTCGGTCCTATTCACGCGAAATTGACCCTATTCTGGTTATCCTGCAAAGGCACCTGCATACTACATACCATTCAATCAATCAATGCTGTATGTTGATCAACACCGTCAAGAGAACGCACAGTCCAGAATATAACGGGAAACACGGTTCCGGATGAGTGTGAGTGCCAGTGAATCTCGGAGGAACCATTGTCCGGGTAGAGTACAGGGCGCAAAGTGTTCTTCCTAGAATGATAGAGAAGACTTGCATACATATCGTATTCCGCTTACTGTCAGGCCGTATAGAACCTTTTATCTCTGCCATGTTGTATATCATGTTGAGAACGGTACGTCCTGTATTGGCGATTGGGGGGTTATCTGTCGAGGTCATTGTACTCACATGAATATAGTTCTTACCAAACCACAACTCCTGGACACGCGAAAGGATGAATATGTTTTCCATTGAGGCCGTTTATTCTCATTCCTTTGAGATGCTTCGAAACCCAAGTCTGACACCAGTAACATGTATATCGTGGGAGAACAAGGGGAATGAGAATGAAGGGGATGAAAGAGCCGCCTTTCGCCGGATAACCAGATTTAGCGTGGGAATCCTTTTTCCGGCCTCTTTTCTACTCTCCGTATCCTGATCCCAAAGCCAAGTATTTGAATTGGTCCCCATTCCCCATCTTACGGGCTTGTCATATCCTGGAAGTATTTGTCCTAAAAAGTGGCTTAGTCTTGGTATTCCCCCAGGATCAAATCACGATAATCCAAATGACCGACGACACCCTTTCACGGGCCAACCAATTTCCTTACAGCTCCCGTGATGGTTGTACATACAAGCCTAAGGTACCGTTGGCAAAGGATGAACGTAGTTGATGTATTGTTCAATAGCTATCCGATCAGTAGTACTTTTTTGAGTAAAATGACTCGAGCTTCCTAGCTTGTTGGCTCAAGCGCACTGCTCTTCTTACTCCTCTTAGGAGCAGTGTGGATTAGAAGAGAGATGTAGTACTACGCGGCCAGTACTTAGGAGCACCGAATGGCATAAATGTAATATTGGACCACAGGTCACCAGTTCTACATACAACTACGGGGACGTTCAGGCATTCTAGCCTCCTAAACTCGGATGTTTACATCCCTCCACACCATATCGGCTAGATTCTCTCGCAAATGTACTGTACTCCAATCTTATCCACCACTTCGGCTACCACCTTTTTCAGGATAGGCTCGACTCGATTGACCCTAGGGAATCAATCCCCGGCGCCTTGTGCATCCCTCCTTTGACGGCTGAAACCCTAGGCACTTCATCGCCGTTATTCTTGAACAAGGCTCGTTCTATTTCACTATATACCTTCCGTATCTCCCTTTGTAAGAATCCGGT